AAGCCTTACCAAGCCCTCAGCCTAATCTAACGCACCTCTTTCGAAAGGTTACTTACCTTTGGTTACGCGAGTTTTTGGTATTGTTGAGTGACCGAGCCACAGTCTTTTCCCGGCTCACAATAGAAAGGATTAATCGATTTTGTGGCTCACCAGATCGTATCACCGTTCTTTGAACCTGTGACACATATATGAAACGTTACAATAGTAATTAGTTACACTAAATTTAATTGGTTAATTTATTATGGCTAACAGTATTTAATGAATAGGCTACATACGCATGTACTATATATTTACCTTTTAATTTTGCTCAAATAATTTTTCACAATGAATGAGTGTATTCTATACACTTTCCTGATTCTCATCTTCTTTAGTTTAGCATTTCATTTACTTTTTCCATTAATCTCAAGCGACGAGATTTACCATATTAATGCCTTAAATAATACGAAGAATCACACAATTATAATGAATGTGAACGATTCAAATATAGGGAATGCTGAAAACTATTCAAACATAGGGAATGTGGAGAAGGCAACGAACCACACAATTATAAATAAAGCAGATTTGAAATATTTAGAATTTGAAGCATTATATAATGCATATATTAGGAAACATAATAATATAGTAGCAAAATTATTAGATCCATTTGTTCAATATAATTTATCAGAGCTTCCAAAAGTTGTCGTTGTTCAACCAGACATGAAAACTGGATACGGAAATCGCCTACCTGGAATAGTTTGTGGTTTTTTATATTCTTTACTTTCAGATAGGCTATTTTTTATTGATGGATATAAAAATTTCGAAACTTATTATGAAAAGGATTTCAATCATGATTGGCAAATTGTTGCAAACTTATATGAAAATAGTACTTATAGATATATACACAATACCAATTCGTATAATGACTTTCGGTTGGTGACAAGAGGAAACTTTAATAATGAGGAAATAAATTTGCAAAAAATTTTATATATCCACACATGGGATTATATATGTGCACCTATAACTTCAAATCCTCATTATAAAGAATGGTTTGATAAAATAATACCTGATTACAGAGTTTTTAAGACAATTAGCCTAAAATTATTAAGGGTACACCCAAATATTAGGAAACAAATAGATACTTTTGCGGACAAAAATTTCAACGAATACAACATAGGAATTCATTTAAGGGAGATAAAGTCATTGGCTAATTCGATTCAACCTATAGAACATTACAGTCAAGCAGTAAAAATGTTGTTATTAGGAAGGAAAAAAACGAATATATCAATTTTTGTGGCAGCAGATAATAATATTGGTCGCAAACAAATAGTAAAATCACTTCGTAAAGAATTTAATTCTAATAGTGATAATTCCATTAAGATAATTTATACGAAAGACAATATGAATTTAGCAAATCCTGTTAGTCGGAACCCTGGTTCAGAAGTAGGCGCTCTTATCGATATGCAATTACTTAGTTTATGTGATGACCTGGTGATTACGTATGGCTCTTCGTTTGGTTTTATTGCAGCAGGATGGTCGAATAAAACATCACATCATAGAGGTCCATTTGTCATAATGCCAATAACAGATTCGAGAGATGATTTATGGATTTTAGATAAAGTTTGGGTATGGGGAGCTGTATCAAATGAACCGTGTATGTACTCTAGCAAATTGCTGATTATTAATGAAGATGAAGAAACTGTTGAAATTTTTAAAACCAATCCTTTATGGATGCATTATAGTCAATGCCATTGGCCGATCTAATTTAGCGTAAAAAATTCAGTTGGAAACAAAAAATTCATTATACATGTTTTCTTTAGAGTGTTTATATTTAACTTACATGAATATTTTGACGAGCGGAGTAAAGCAAATTAAATTCAGAATTCAGAAATCGGATTTTCATTGTATTATACGAAATTATTATAGATTATAATTTATAGATGTTATACATCAATTCAATATTGTGAAATTTGGTTAATCTCGGATCAGTCCGAAAATCAAAATAAATGATTAAACTCGATTATTTCAAAATGAATTATATGTAAAAATAGGCTTTTTTAATTGATGACACTTCATATAAAGGCAACTGCATCCAAGAGCAAGTTCCTGATTTTCTTTTCCAAGTGTATTTAATAGGTCGAACTTATACTACTTTATGGTTCAATATAAATAATGTTGGACCCGTATACTTATCTATTTCAAGCAGAATTACTGTAGGCAGTTAGGAGTCCTTTCTAGTTTATGTTTGTTTCTTTATTTGTATCTTCTTCTCTTTAATATAGTTATTTGCTATTAATTGATGTTTTCTTATCTTTTTTTGTAATTTATTTAGAAATGCTGATAAAATTAATTTCACTAATTTCATCAATGATGATGAAAATATTTTACTACTTTAGTTCTATTTCACTAGTATCATTAGATTTATTTTTTCTATAAGTTAACTGTTGTTCTTATATAATTAAATTTATTCATTTTCTTCTGCTATTTGCTCAGACATATAAATTCATTTCTTGTATTTTAAAAATTAGAAAATAATTTTTATTATCATGAATTATATACAGTATAATAGAATAGGTTTTATTAATAATTAATTTTTGTTAATATATAATTTTGTTATTCAAAATATTAATTGTAGTATAATGGCAAGCGGATTTTATAGTGTTAGTGTAATATCTTCCGTAGCTTTAGCCGTGGATATCCGACGACTTTTTTTTTCAATCCACAGATTTTTCTATCCGATTATAAATTACCCACTGAATTCTGATGAAATCCGATGAATCAAAATTTATCCAATGCCTTACTATGATCAGTTTATAAAATAAACAATTGTAACGTGTTGCCATCTTAAAAAACTCATTGAGATATTGATTTACAAATAAATGATGCTACAAGTTGAATAAAATAATTTTATCGGAGGACTTTCAAATTAAACTTTTAC